CAAGTCACTGTGCCTTTTCATGTTTTCTCCTTCCCACTCCATAAAAAGGAATAGTCATATAAGCCTGTTTTTTACAGTATTCACAGTCATGAAAGAACTGCAGAGATGATAAGGTGTGTTTTTACTAATCATTTTGCAAGTCATTCTTTACAAGGTTATACTAAAAGCATACAGCCAATTGAAAGGCGCTTCGGCTCTGATTCAGTTTTTGTTGAGGCAAGCTGCCAAACGTGCGTCAGTACGAGCTACATTGGATTGCGCCAGTGTTATGGAAAATGGCTTCTTTAACATCGCTACTAGTAGAATTAACATTACAGCAGGTGTTTTACAGGCTCTGTAAGAGGATTTCAAATTCTGCATTGAGCCTAAAATCAGCAGAAGTAAACCAAACAGAAATGCCTGAAATTCTCTCAAGTGTAAGAATTTCCCTAATCCAAACCACAATTTCCATTCCAGCTGAAAGGAAATTTTGTATTGCATGTAAGAGGCTACTGTGAGGAGAACTGAGTTGCAAGGAGGTCTGTTTTTATGTGACCCCTGATAAGCAAGATGAAGAGAGGTGATCTATTGATAGAAGTCTTCAAATCAGACTGATGGCACTCCAGGATACATGCTTTTCTAAAACAGATACACAAAAGGAAACTGATGAAAATAAAAGTATGAGAGATTACTGCCTAGTTTCTTAGTGTGATGTATTATTTCTTGTTTGCTACAGCATTGCCCAGCTGATCTAACAGGTCACATATCCGAGCAAAATTGAGCTCTTGGTGTCAATAACCCTTTCCAAACTGTGTTACATATATCACAAATATATGCCAGGCAATTTTGTAGCAGTATGTGAACTAGAACAAGGCCAGGATCTGTTTGCAAAACGTTGACCTTGTGCATTCTCTAAAATTACTATACACATATAACAACCAAAGAGCTTGATATTCGTCTATTTTAATAATTCAGCTGCAAGTACTGTTTATTATAAAACAGTATAATAAACTGTTTCTTTTAATTAATAAATAATTTCTTTTGACAAATTCCTCCTCATGTAAATAACTTTGCATACATTTTCTTTGCATCTACTAGAAGTGAGTTTAACATTTTGTTTATTAAAGTGAAACAGTTCAGCAACTTCTAAACACAAGCCTGTAAAATTAACAATGGTTTCAAATATCAAATGGCTTCTCCAAAGTGTGAGGTGGTGGTTTGTTTCCAAATCCAGTTGTTTAACTTTCCCTATGAAAATGTGGTAAGGTAATAAACTTTAGAAAAACAAAAAATTGTGTATTCTAAGTAAAAATATGTTAGTGTCTAAACAGCTAAAATATGAGCAATTCTAGCCTAGGCAAGATACTGGAGCTCTGGGAAAGTTTTTGCTTTTGTTCCTAGAGTCGATGGTTAGGACAGACTTTTCACCTCTCTTCAATTATTTATCTGTCAGACTAGCTAAATTTGGTTTTCCTTCTCAGTTCCTGAAAACTAACTGGAATGAGCTTCTACATACAATCCCAGACATATTCCTGGAATTAGATGAAAGTGAATGTGAAAACTTTTTGGAGTCTTATCAGCTGTGACTTGCCATATTTGTACTGACATTTACAAGCTGCTAGCCCTTAGCAATAACTGATGATTGATGAAAGCAACCTTCCTGGTAAAACTTTCAAGATCTCCCCAAAGATTTACTTCCTGCATCCCACGCCTATCTTCTCCCTCTCCACAACAAATATTTTAATTATTTTGGCTGCTATTATTTTAAGGCAGAAAAATCAGGGGCAGAAGGAAGGGGGTAAGTAGAGAGAGATTTTCTGTGGAAAAAAAAATGAGGCTGTTCTGTAGCAGCGTTTTCCACTTGCTTCAGTAACAACAGCAAGGGGAGTGAGTTCAGTTTGGGGCTCTTCCCAACTCACTTGTCCCACAACGATGACTGGCCTCTTACTGCGTGTTCTGTACCACAGCAGCCTAAGATGCAAAGAAAAGCGAATAGAGAATTGCAGAGGAAAGGAAGGAAAAGAAATAGCAAGGGAAAAGGAAACTGTTCCTCTTGCACTGGAAAGGGAGATGACAAACAGCTGGAGAGATAGGTGGGGGAAGTGGAGAAGTGCACATGTACTTCCTGCTACCAGGAAACAAAGACTTCCACAATATTCAGCTGCTGAAGACCCCTTCCTTCATGGAAACCAGAAGCACCCTCCTTTTTGTGACACTCACATCACATCAGTAAAATAATTTATCAATACCTAAGATATATTAAAACTACAGTAAAGAGTACTGTAAAGCAAAATAAGAACAATTAGTGACACAATTCGTGAGATGTTTTTGGTTTTTATGCAAGTCTGATCAATATATAATAATCCTACAGATATTCCTAAGTTGTTATAAAGGTATACTACTTAGCAGTACCAAAGCCATGATACTTTACAGCCACTGGAACGAGCCCACATTACTCTTCTGCCAATGGGGAAAGATGCCAGGCAGAATCCTCTCACATTGTGATTTTTTTGTTGTTGTTGTTGCAGCTGTGCCTAGAACAGGTATGTCATGCATGGCTACCTGTTTGTTTTCAAACCGGTCCAAACGAACCAGAACCTAGCATTATAGCGAGTGGACAGTGGTTCCCTTTAGGCAACCACATACTAGAGAAAAACCTGGACAGTTTTTCTCAGTGAACACGGTAACTGCATGAGCCAAAACACCAAATCCAGATTTGTGCCCCTGAAATGAATCATATGGACATTTTTGAACAATGTAGACATTCAGTCTCCCTGTGGCCATTACACCTCAGGCCATTACTGCGTACATTCAGCCACCGTGCATGTACAAGCTGGAACATCCTTGTGAACATGAGAACAGCACACGAAGATAGTTGCCTGAAAGGAAACGCCCCATGTCTGAAACAGACAGAGAGCTCTTTTCAAATCTGTTGAAAGATGAGTCACACTAACTTAGCAGCGAGTCAGGCTGTGGGAGACAGATTTCTCCCCTTCTGTCTGAATACTGTGCCCTAATCACGAGCCATGAGGTCATTTCAGTAGCAACGGATCACACCTTACGTGCTGCAGCTGAAAGTCTTGCTAGCCTATTTAGTATCCAATGAATAGGTTTGCCTCAGTGATTCACTCACACTGCACAGCTCCACAGAGCGGTAGAAACACGCTACAGCTTTGCAAATGGGCTTGGGTTTATGCTTCCCACCACTCTGTTTACACCCACTCATGCGTTGTCCCTTCTGTCATTGCGGGATTGCGTTTCCAGCTCCTCCCAGCTGGAGATCATTGGCTGTATAATTGGAAACAGATTAAAGCAAATGTCTACTCCTCTAGCTTAAACAGAGACAGGCTCAAGGCCCCTGCAGAATGAGTTGAGGTTGTAACAGGTCTGTTCATGAAAGATGAACCAGGGCTTCTTGGTTATACATCAGAACTTACAGTTACGAAAGTGCTGGCCCTGATATTTGTGTGCAACATTACATGTTTTTATGTTTCAGTAACTCAAACCAGCTGTGATAAAAATAATCTTGTGGTTCTTCCTTGCTATGTTGGCTTTGAATTTACAATCCAGCTTTGAAGTCCACCAAAAGAGGTCCAAACACTGGGGTACATCAACTATTGTGTCCTGGTTTCAGCTGAGATGGAGTTAATTTTCTTCATAGTAGCCAGTATGGGGCTGTGGTTTGGATTTGTGCTGGAAACAGTGTTGATAACACAGGGATGTTTTCGTTACTGCTGAGCAGTGCTTACACAGAGCCAAGGCCTTTTCTGCTTCTCACACCACCCCACCAGTGAGTAGGCTGGGGATGCACAATGAGTTGGGAGGGGACACAGCTGGGACATCTGACTTTAACTGACCAAAGGGATATTCCATACCATATGACATCATGCTCAGTTTATAAGGGGGTTGGGGAAGAGGAAGGGTGGGGCATCATCATCTGGAGTGATGGCGTTTGTTCCCAAGTCACTGTTATGCTTTCCTGGAGATGGCTGAACACCTGCCTGCCCATGGGAAGTGGTGAATGAATTCCTTGTTTTGCTTTGCTTGTGCACACAGCTTTTGCTTTAGCTATTAAACTGTCTTTATCTCAACCCACGAGTTTTCTCACTTTCATTCTTCCAATTCCCTCATCCTGTTGGGGGGGGGGAGTGAGTGAGCAGCTGCGTGGTGCTCAGTTGCCGGCTGGGGTAAAACCACGATATACTGATACTCTGAAAAATCTTCACCAAACAATTTCAAGACTGACAATTCAGAAAGCAATTAATTCTATAGGTCATGCTTATGGACCCAGAGGTGTAACTTCTTTATGTACAATCACTGTGAACAACTGCTTCAAAACTTAGTAAGTCCATCTTGCAGACTGCTGCAGAGGAAACAAGACAGATTTACCTAACGTTGGAAATGCCAGGATGAAAATGCAAGCTGTTGAATGCTATGCTTCTAGTCAACTCTATTTCTTCCTCTCTTACCGTATTTCTTCCTCTTTTATGCAAGAATAAGAAAAAGGATAATTTCAAGTTCTTTTTTTATCCCCCACCTAATCACACAATGATGCTGAGATTTACAAATGCAAGATGGATATCTGTGTGAATTTACTTTTGCTTCAGAAAGCTTTCCTTCAAAAGAAAATGTGGACCTGGGGCATGGACAGTGCTGGATTCCAAACCCAATGAAATCTGTTCTTGTAGAAAAGATGCTGCAATAGTGTAGTGTGTTTCTTTCCTTCAAAGAACTGATACACTGCAAGTTTACATTTTCATTATTTATTGGTTTTAATATATACTTTTCCCATCATTTACACAAAAATAAATATAAAATTTAAGAAAACATTATTGACATTATACAGCTAAATAAAGCAAGAATTTATTCTAGAAAATTAATATCTGTAATATTAGTTATTATAATAATTAATTTTCCTTTCAGGACATAGTTCTTCTGTCAGTCAAGCAATTGAGAAATTGAGGGGAACTGTGTTTTTACAACTGAGGACAGATTCTGGCATACCAGTGATTTTAAAATCTGGACTTGGTTTGAATACCACACTTGTAAAAAAAATCTTTGCTTTTTTTTCTCATTTGTGATAATTTACTGATTAACTAAAGTACGACTCTGTATCTTCTATAGATAGAACATCATTATCAAGATACTCCAAAATTATATTTCCACCATTGTACAATGGGTAGTCTTTATCAGATAGCCATGTTTCCAACGTGTGCTCAAACGGCAAGGCTTCTCCAGAGGCAGTATGGCACAATCTCAATTTCTGTAAGACAAACAGCACAGAAATTAACATCCAGATTTGCCTATGTGAGATGCAAGAAGTGGGGTGGGGGAGAGACAAAAGGGTAGAAAACAAAACAACATCAAAACCCAACCACCTGGAAAATGTTTGTTATTGTTACTGATTTACCTGGGATGTTGATTTGTTGTTGTCATTTTTAAGGCTTGCTAAGGAAGCTGCAAAATCTACTACTTTGCCAATACTCCACTTACTGCAAAAGAACATGGGCTTGCTTTTCTCTTTGTTCCCCTTTGGTAAAAATACTTGAAAGTAAATTCTTTCTGTCTAGAAAAACATGAAAAAATAAAAATTATTCACAGAAGAGACACATAATTGCAGTCATACGCATCTGATAGTTTTTCAGTAAATAACTTAAACTTCAACCCAAAAATTACCAACTGAAACTTGTTCTATTCCATAAGGCCCCATTTTGCTGCAGAATATAAATGACTGAGACCATCAAGTCCAATCCCCTCCAGCTGCAGGCACATATATAATGGACAGTAGATTCAGAAAGGCGGAGAGAACATCTTTCACCACACAGCTAGACTGTTATATATAGACAGACACAAAAAGGTGTCTGCCCTGGGTTTACTAGACAATAATGACTGCTCTGGGGAGAAAAAGGTGAGTTCAAATAAGCAGTGTTGGCTTTTGGCAGCAGTATCACGTCAAATTGGAATGCAAAGGCGGTTAAAACTGAACAATTCACTGTACTAGAAATGCCTGCTTCACAAACTAACATTCCGGTCACAGCCAGCTAATCCTTTATCCTGTTTTTCCTCCTTTTATGTACTACATGCTCTTTCAAGATCTACTAGAGTGAAACATTTGTTTAAGAAATGTCAAGAGTAACCTATGAGGGAGAGATTTTGAACAGGACTGGGACAATCCCTTCTTCAGGTTTTTTCTTCTTGGCATTCAACAGAAGACACAGAGCAAGCATGACTGGTATATTCATCAGTTAAGACTACTTGTGCTGGAGTCCAAGCCAGACACTATCAAACAAGACAGAAGTCTTCTTTTTAAAGGATTTACTTATGTGTTCCCTAAAATAATAAGGAACTACCCTTCCCCCAGCTATGTTCATAAAACTGAGTCTGAATTTCAACCTGTGCATTTTCCTCAAAACTTGAGTGCTCTCCACACACAACAAAATCTTTAACATCGAGGAATATTACAAACAGGCAAGGCACGCAGGACCTGAATATTGCTAAAACATAAATGACCACAATGTGTAAAACAGCTAACACAACGGCCATCCTGTTATGGACACGTGCTAACATCGCCGAACTGCTATCAGAGCTCTGGCACCTTCCTACAGTTGCTCCTCCAGTTTTAAGGATGATGAGACAGTCTCCCATAGTTCCCTGGAACTTAATGCACAAACCAGCTCATTCTACTGTTGCATTCCTAACTATGGGATATGCCTCCTGGAATTTCTGTGCCATATCCAAGAAAATACTGGTCAGTCAGGGACACAATAACTAACACTATTTTGCAGCATGGCCCTCCTGTTTTGAGCTGGGCAGTCTCAAGAAGGGTAGCTTATAGCAGGTCTGACACCAAAAGCAACCATCTGCAGAAAGCTAATCTGCACAAAGGGGCCAGAGAAAAGACATTTGTAAGACAACCTGATCTTCCTTATGATAGAATAAGAAAGGTCAGGAAGGACCTCTGGTGTCACATGGTCCAAAACCATGCTCAAAGCAGGGGGCACTTTAAAGCTGGACCTAACTATAAAGGTAGATCAGGTTGCTCCAAGTCAGATTCAATCAAGTTTTGAACATCCCAAAGATGTAAATTCCCCAAATTTTCAGAGCAGCTTGTTCCAAAGTCTGACCACCCTCACTGTGATTTTTTTCTTCCTGTTATCTAATTGGAATTTCACATGTTGCAGCTTGTGCCCATTTCCCCCTGTCCTTTTGCTGTGCACCTCCAAGAAAAACGTGTCAATCTTCTCTAGATAGTGATGAGAGAGCTAATGTGCCTAAGAGGCATTCCAGAAACTTCTTATTCAAAAAATCTGTCATCAAACTGGAACAAGCTGGGCAGAAGGTGACTAGAAGGAGTCTAGGAAACAATTTAAATAGAGAGTTGCTGAAAGTTAACAGGCTTAATTTATCAGTGTTAGAATTAACACTATTCTAGATGATTAAACAATATCCAAATGAGAAAATGAATAGTAAGAGAAATTAGCATACAGTAATTTGTGCTACACTTTTTAGAGCTTAATGTCTTTAGAATTAGGAAGTAACTTCTAAAATTTTCTTATATATATTGAGGGTGGATTTTTTAAATTATGTTCCATAATATTTGAAATTAATTACTTTCCCTTCAGCACATATTTATTAAACTGGTACTATCTGTGAAGAATGCTACAAGCAAGTCTTTGTATTATGACTTCTGCCTCAGCAGAGTTATCTAATTTCTAAGCATGACAAAGTATAAAAAAAGAAATTCATAACAGGACTCAGTAATGGAATAGCTGTAGTTTTAAAAACAATAATTAAATGTACTCTACTAAGATAAGACGTAACAATAAGACTATGACATAGAGTGTTTTCAGTTATTATAAAATCAATATAACAGGCCTAAACTTAATATGCTCCAACATAATAATGTGATGAAAAGTAATTTAAATACAGTTCTTTTAAGAGAATTCATAAGTACAGATGTGAAACCTGAGATGAAAGAATCCTGGTGTTTCTAAACCCAACATAATCCTGATATGTGGAAAAGACTTGAACACCAGGTTTGACTGGCCACGGTAGTGAAAAAGAATAAGGAATCTGTGAAATGTTTCAAGAATCAAATAAATTAAAGGCTGAAAGAAACATAAAGCAACTGTCAAAACCCTTTTTCCAACCCAAAGGCAGGAACAACTGACCTCAGGCCCTTCCTATCTCATCCAGAAATGTAATAAAAGTCTATTAAATCTGAGTAGCAGAAAAAAGCTTTGCAGAACACAAATCTCAGTTTTGTATGAGGCAGGTTCAATCTGACCGGTACAGAGTTGTGCAAACTGTGTCCTGTCTGTGTCAGAAGCCTCTCGGAACCCAGCACGAAGAGCATACCTTTGAGATGGGTTTGCCATGTGTGACCAGTGCCCCCTGGCCCTTCTTCTCCCCTTCGCTATCAGCCTCAAGGCTGCTGGGCACCACGCTGACTCCTCCCCTCCTTACTGGCCTTGAAGGTCCCAGGCATCCAGGCAACCTGGTAGTGATGAAGCCGTCACAGAACAGGGAAGCCTACCAGCACACAGAGCACCGTCCATAAAATCAAGCACGTACAAGCCCTAAGTGGGACTTGGAGCAGAACTGCTGATGGACTGCAAAACCTGTGAGCCCCAGTGGCCAGGGATGCCTCCTCCCAGGACCAAGTGAGTGACTCGTACTCTTTTACACGTTCCGAGTCTAGATGATGACTAGGATATTGGTAGTGTAATATATAAGCCAAGTGTTAAGTTTTCATCTGATCTGCAGAGGATTCAAGTGACTAGGAACCACAAGGTAAGCTGTGCTATAAAATTCTGTGCTTTGCTACTTATAAAATTGGGCTACACTGATTCTGATTATAAAAATCTTGTGCTGCTCTGATTATAAAATTCTATGCTATGCTGATCATCAATGTCTGTTTAAAATAATAAAGCTTTAATTGTAACTACAACTTAGTGCCGTCATCATTCTGCCAAGGATCCCAAAAGAACCTGTCTGTTCCCATAGTTTCGAGTGACAGAATAAATTGGCCAAGTTGGCAGAATCCTTGGGTCAGATTGATGACTGATTTCCCCAATAAATGGGACTCCTGGAGAAAGGGGTTTACAGAAAACAGATAACAAGATCCCAAGTGGAACAAGAAGTGGTTAGAGGCACTAAGCCGTAATCCAAAAGCCGTATGGAATGAGTTTAATAAGTGGAAGGATATGTGGAAAGTGAAGAAGGACAGACAGAAGGAAGGAATGTGCCGGCTATTAGCCACAGTATGGAAAATTGAGAATGAACAAGTTGAAAGGTTAGAAGATGAAATTATAAAAGTGAAAGGTGAATTGTCAGCCAAGGATTACAATTAGCATAACCAAATTAAAGGCTGATAGTAAGTCTGGAAAAAGAGCATCTCTTGAAAAACAGTTAGTGCCACAAGTTATAGAAAAAACAAGAAATATAAAAAACTGTTAAAAGGTAGTGATATAGACCCTGTAAAGGTCTGCGTAGATACATATGACAGTGCCTGGGCTGGAGATATTTGGGACAGCCCAGATCAATCTGGTGAGGAAGTAATTGATTCTGTACCAATACAAACCCTGACACAAGAAATCACTAGTGATGACCCACAGGGGAACAATCCGCAGAGAAGGGATACTACTAACATTTGAGATTTTAATATGGATTATTTGTGAAAAATTCAGGCAACACACCAAAACCGACCTGGGCAGACAATAGTTAAATGGTTATGCCACCTCTAGCATGATGAAGCAGCCAGAGTATCTCTGTTTGCAGGAGAGGCAAAAGACTTAGATTTAGGTCCTGGAATATTTCTCACCTTCAGAGGGAATCCTGGTTGAACCTTCTGGACCTTAGCTATTCAGTGGGCAAGAGGGGTCCATTATCAAGACTGGAGCAAGGAACCTAAAATTCCTTGGCAGGGTCCAGATGAATTGCAGGAAGCATAATTACAAGTGGCTATTATAACCTTATTACATTGAGCTGAAGCCCCAGGTGAGAAACCTATCCTTGGGACATTCCTGCTACGTCCTCTGATTTGAGGTCTAATGGGAAAGGAGCTGTATGGTCAGAGAAATTTATCTTTATGCAAATATGCCAGGGTTTACCTGCAGAAATCCCTTTTTCACAAGTGCTCTGCAAATGCAAGAACTAAGCCCTGACCCTCCCATATGACAGGAGCAGTGCCAGGTTCTAACTCCCTCATTCTCACCTGGAGGTCAAACAAGTGCTCCACAGAGCCATCAGCCAACTTAAATAAACAATATAATACCATCTGGAGACTTCCTAATCAACCTGAAAGTGCATGATCCGAGTGAAACAAGTGGTGGCGTGCCTGCATAAATCAGGGGTACACTGGTGACTTGCTCCACGGTTTGCCTATTGAAAAAACTACGCTTGCTAGCGAAGGAAGGGGAAAAGGAGGAAAAGCTATCCACATCTCTACCTAGTGCTCCTCCCATAGATGGAAAGCCCTTTAAACCACAAAAATATCCTGACTTATCTCGTATCAGAGAGCAGCATCAGGGACACAAGACAAGGGGCTTGGACTGGTAGAGGTACAAATGGCACTACCCTCCACCACTTGAGGACCAAGTCCCACTTTTTGAGGCATAGCAAACAAGAAATTAAAGACTGATTTCCTCATAGATACCAAAGCACAACTATTAATGAATAAAGCAGAATCATGTCCTGAAGCTATCCCTCTGAGACATCCGAAAATATTAGTAACTGGAGTAAATGGAGCAGTGGTTCAATTGTTAAGGTAAAATTGGAATTTCGCCTGACCCCCGAAAATAGCAAATGCAACTAGGAAACCTAAATATACTTGGTATGGGTATTCTGTGAGCTGGATACAGGGCAACACTAACTGGGCTACTGAAACAACTGATGAAGAAACAGGGCCCCATCGAGGAGGTCACCTTTTTAGGGACATTTTTGTAGGAAATAAGTCCCCTGGTCCACTTGGCAAATTGATTATATTGGACCTCTCCCTCGAACACCTAAGGGGTGGCATTATATCCTTACTGGAGTTGAAATAATATCAGGCTTAAGGAAAGCTTTTGCTTGCCGTAAAGCTGATGCTCTTACTACTGTGGCAGGATTGAATCAACGGTTTGCTGACACTCCAATGCCCTCTGCTGTGCAGTCTGACAATGGCAGTCATTTAAAGAAAAAAAATAATTCCAGGAATGGTGTGAACATCAGGGAGTTGCCAGAGTGTTCCACCTGTCCTACAGACCTCAAAGTAATGGCACAGTTGAAATGTGGAATGCTCTACTAAAATGAGCTCTAGGGTAAAGTTTATATACAGGAAAATGGGGTAAAGCCCTACCTAAAGCTGTTCAATGCTTAAACAACTGGCAAACACCCACCAGATGCCCGATGGAACAAGGTCATTTTCCTGCTCTCCAAACAATAAAACATCTAAAACCCTCATTGTCAGCCTGACGTTTTTCTCAGGGTGACACTGTTCTTATTAACTACCCTTTGATGGTGTCCTGGTTTCGGCTGGGATAGAGTTAATTTTCTTCTTAGCAGCTGAGTAGTGCTGTGTTTGGATTTAGGATGAGAATAATGTTGATAACACACTGATGTTTTTAGTTATTGCCAAGCAGTCAAGGAATTTTCAGCCTGTCATACTGCCCTGCCAATGAGAAGGTGGGGGGGCACCCAAGAAGCTGGGAGGGGGACAGCCAGGACAGCTGACCCCAACTGACCAATGAGATATTATATACCATATGACATCATGTTCCGTACATAATTGTGGGGTGGGCCTGGAGGTGGGTCCGCTCGGGGTCTTGCGGAGCATTGACTTCAGGTGGTGAGAAATTGTGCTGCTCATCACTTGTTTTGTATATTCTATTATTATTATTTTCCTTTTTTGTCTTTATCTCAACCCGTGAGGTTTTGTTTTTGTTTTTTTTCTTTTTCCATTTTCAATTCTCTCCTCCATCCCACTGGGAGCAGGGGGAGTGAGCGAATGGCTGTGTGGTTGTTTTAGCTGCCTGCTGAGTTAAACCACGACAGATGGTTAAAATATCTGTGAGTTTACTAACTCCCAGAGAAAAGGGCATATGGAAAACTGTTTCTAAATGGGGACTCCCTTTAACTTTAATAGAGGCTTGGATGATTCCCAAGATCGAGTAATTTCTTATTGCTTCAGGTAAACTATACTTGAATGGATATACCTGAACAAACCTGCAGCATGGCCGAGGAATCATCACTTTATCTTCATGGAAACCTCAGCTGTAAAAAGATGCTCACAATGCCCACTGTATTGTACTTACCCTTATTTGTACCCTCTTCCTCCCTATTTCAAGAATGGGATGATAATTGTATCATTCAGTTCATGAACATAATTTCTCAAATGGGTAATGAATCAAACTGTTGGTATTGTTTACACCACCCTCAGTCTTCAGATGCCAATTCTGGGTGGGTAGCTGACCCTGTTCCTGAAACATCTTGGTACCAACCTAAGTTGGCATGCTCACTCCCCAACCCTCCAAATTATCAAACTCAACCTTTTAAGGCATGTTCTTATGATAAGGCCCCATGGTACATTGCAATGCCCCAACGTACAAATTCAGCCTGGGTGGGAAAAACATGCAGTTGTGATTATACCCTGCTCTACAATCGGGCACAAACTCAGTTTCAGCTGATACACTATAATAGAACCAGAGTTTGTAATGAATCCAACTTAAGAACCACGTAGATCATAGAATGGTTTGGGTTGGAAGGGACCTCAAAGATCATCTAGTTCCAACCCCCCTGCAATGTGCAGGGACGCCCTCCACTAGACCAGGTTGCCCAAAGCCCCATCCAACCTGGCCTTGAACACTTCCAGGGAGGGGGCATCCACAACCTCTCTGGGCAACCTGTGCCAGTGCCTCACTGGAAATAAAGGAAATAAAGGAATTTGACCTGACTGCTCCAAACTCTACACAGATGCCTTATAACAGACATAAAACTAGTGAGATTGTTTTTGGGTACCAGGCTGAGATAGATGCATAAATGATTGTGGGCTTGAAGAATTAAATCCAAAACCAAACTGAGGGAACTAGATGAAGAACAAGAAATTTAGAAAACTTTCCATTTCCTTTGAAAATTCAATTATTGAAAACAAACATGACTGACCTGAGGCAAGGACTTGTCCCCACATGCGTGCATTTTCAGTTTCATTAATGCCACTTTTGCTGCTGTCTCACTGTTTTTCACTCCTTTACGTTTTTTGCTCTTTGCTTCCTCATTTTTTTTAGAATCTGAGAACAATATTATTATTAATAATATTATTATTACTGTAAGTGTGCTGATTCAGACCGTCTCCTGAACATATCTTGGAATTAGCCTATTGGGCCTCATTATATCTCCAAGGTTCCCATCCCTTTCATGTCCCTTTCACGTCCTCCCGAGGCTGTGATATCAGGTACTGCTATTCAAGAATATTTGGAATTGTTACAGTTCTTGCAGAACTCATTTACACTGAGAAACAGGCAAACACTATCACGAGGTAAACACAGGTTGCAAAAGCCAAATACATACAAATTGCTGAGTTTCTATACCTGTGGCCATCACAGCATTCGTATGGCAACAGTTTCAGGTCCTCCTTTCTACATAGAACCCCACTGTCCAGTTAGGCAGTGCTGTTTGTTTCTCCTTCCTGTCCTAGAGCTTCTTTAAAAGCTGCAAAGCATTACATTGTAGATTCCCCTTTATTTGCCATCTGGGTTGTATAGGTATAATCCCAGCAGACTGGTATGCGCACCCAATACAATACAATTGCATTATTTGCACATGAACTAATATGCAAATAATAATGCTTAGGTATAATTCCTTACATTATAGTACTTGTAGAATGAGAACAAGACAATAATTTTGAAAGAAACCTGAGCCCTATTTAATCTTGAAAGATTCTCTTTATAGACATATGCTTCTGCTGTCTTGTCATCTAGACTGAGACATGTGAGTTTAGGGCTATTTAAACAAGCAACCCTCATCCTTTCTTCTTACTTGGTCAAACCTGAACCCTCAGAGGAGATCCCAAGCTCTAATAACCTTCTGAAGAAAACTATAGAATATACATCCTGCTGTACTTGCCTATAATATGTTTAACTAGCTGCTGGGTGGCAGCCATTCGAGGTTTTGGTGTGTCCAGTTTCTCACATTCATGGTCTGATTGATGCCGGTGTCTGTAAACAACAGCGTAAAACTTTTATTACCTCTTCCATACACTAAAGAATGAGTATTTACGTTTAAACACTCTGTTCCACTCACCTTAGACAAAAATGTTTTTCACAGTAGGGACATAAAACTGGCAAAAGCTCCTTTCCGTTGCAGTCCTTGTATGAGCACGGGTAAGATCTGTGCTGATCTGGTTTCACAGAATTGTTTCTTATATTCACCTAGGCATTAGTACAAAATATTTTGTGTAAATAAACAAATATTACAGATACAAGTCACCACCCCAGCTTTCCAAAAGAACTGTGCTAGCTCTCCATTCTGTGGGCAAAACTAACCCAGTGATTCTCTCCTACTTTTGTGCTGGTTAAGTTTAGCTCAGAGTTAGAAAAAGAGCCATCATTCTATTCAAACTCAATTTACTTCTGACAGGCAGAAAAAGAGTAGGTTCATTTTTTTTAAGCTGGTCACATTCTCAGTTCAATAATTCATACTTATATACTACGTGTATATATCTAATCTGAAAATTAGGTAAGTGAAGTTGCACAGAATTTTGATTTTAAGGTAGCCGTGTATTATTAGATTACCTCAGAACACCCATGAGCATCCCGGCTCCTGTGCTGAAGGCTGTGTGGCAAAAGAAGAAAATATCACACTGTTATCAACATTTCAGGAAAAGAAAACTGCATGTGAAAACATTTACGTGTTTAAAGAGTTTTATCATGGGAACACTTCAATTAAATAATGAATCTTCTAAAAAAATGTACTAACCTATGTATTTCACATCTCAAATGGATTGATCATGTTCTGAGTATGTAAGCCATTAGCTCTTGGAACTTACACCCCAAGACCACAAAACATTTCAAGAGAATAAGGACATTAGCATGCTTAATAATTCAGCTCAAAGAAACTGGAGTTTGTCTTTTAATGTACTTTGAATCACATTTCACAACAGCAGAAATCCCATGAAGGCTTCTAACGTTAAAAGTGAAATCTGCCCTCAGCTTATCTGAGTTTACCTCAGCTGCCTTCTGCTAAACTGAAGTGTAAAGCAAAGTGCAGGCCCTGATTAGAGACCTTCTACAAGAAAAAATACCCAACTCCCTCCTCCCAAAAATCAGTACAAAACAGAGTCTAAACTAGATGCCTTTCGAAATATTCTACCTGTATTCTAGACATATTCCCACTGATTTCAAAACTCCACCATAGTCACTTGGGAAAAAGTGGCAAGTTCAGTGAAACAATTATTTTTTAACTAAATGTATCTGAATTGAGTCACATTTTATACAACATTCAGGTCTATATAACTGCCACACTGAGATCTTTTAGGAAAACTTACCAAAAGACACCTGAACAGCCGTCACATACAAAGGGGAGAAAATCTGAAACAAAGAGATTTAAGTTAGACAATGTGGTCATTGCTTTGCTAATAGTTTGTAGCTTAATTTTTACATGATTAACTTTTTCCTACCTATATCACAGGGTAGATATCTTTACAAGGACACTTAGCAACTGCATCTACACAGTACCTACAAGTGGCTTTTATAACACAGGTACGCTGTTAACTCCTCTAGTTAGTATTACTGGAAAACATATGAGTATTTATATACATTCCAGAAGTTGGAATTATGCTTTAAATTAAATTTTTTTTCAATATCATAGAATCATAGAATGGCTTGGGTTGGAAGGGCCCTCGATCACACTTTGAAACTAGAATGTTTAGCTAGCCATCGAACTTACCAGTTATGCTAAAAATTGAATTTATTGTGGAAATATTTAGAATTTAGAAAAAGAATACTGTTTACTGACTGCTGGAGCACTAGACAATTTATATTTTTATTACATGGATTGCCAACTGGAGGAGATGCTATCCCTTCCAAAAAGCCAGCATCTCCTCCACTTGACAGTCCTGATGAGCCCGCTCCTTCTTCTCTGTCCTTCATATCATACAAACTGTCCTCGTGTAATTTAAATTGCACATGCTTCCCAAGTCTCAGCAAACATCCCCCATCTACTACATCAATAATTACAGATAAAATCACTTCACTGGCTGCTGAACTCCCAGCAAATGCCACCTCCAGGCCATTACTTCATTTCTCCATCCTTCGGATTTGGTCTTAAGGGACCTCCATGCAACTGGACTACACAGCTCAAGTCAAGTCACAAAGATCTCAGTCACTTCATCCGTAAGATTTCGGCAGAAGCAGTTTTGCTACCTCATTCTGAAAGGTTACATTTTTATTAACATAGTTTCCTGGCATCAGCGAAGACAAGCAAGGGTGAAGAACGGAAAAACAGGGTAGCAGCCGTTGGCAAAGCACAGGATTAACCCCCCAGTGACACAACGTAACGACAGGCCCGGCGATGAATCGCGCAGGCCTGCGGCAGCACTGCGGACGCCCCGAGAGGGAGGCACC